TTTTCCCAACTCTCAAAGGCTGTCTGGAAACAAAGAAATGGAAATGTCTATATATACATGGAATTTACAATTAAGATCATTTGCACATGTGGGCCCCTCCAATAATTCATTTTTCACTGTTGTGCCGCCTCGCAGGGAAGGGGGTGGGGTAGAGGCTGTTTGCCTGGGGGGCAAGATCTTTACGTAATTGCTGACCGCGGGGGGCAAGATCTTTACGTAGTTGCTGACCGCAGCCAAAGACACGGAGAAATAGAAAGTAACGCTATTATCTGGTGCTTAAGTACTAATCATATTTCAACATCAGTTTAGGTGATATAAAGTATTATTAAATAAAATATACAATTGAATAAATCACATAATTGAACTTTTGATATAATACACATAGACTGATATTCTAACATTACTGATATTATGAGTGTGTTTGGTAGGAATTTTTGAGGGAAAAATTGATTTCTGAATAGTGAAATGATGAGAAATGTGTGATTGAAAAAGAAAAAAAAAAGTATTGANAAAATTGATTTTTGAATAGTGATATGATGGGAAATGTGTGGTTGAAAAAGAAGAAAAAAGTATTGATGTGATGGAAAATATTATTTTATTGAAGAATGTGTGGTTGAAAATGAGAATTGATTTACTGTAGAAAATAAAAAGCTGTACCAAACAAGCTCTATATAACATTATTCGAGAAATAGAGGGTAAACTTTGGAGGATCTTTATAGGTGCCATGTGATCAATTACGGTATAAATGTCATTTAACCGATCCCTATCATTTAGGGAACCAAACGGATTGTAATAAAATGATTAAATCTGAACTTAAATTATAGTTAATGACTCAATTGTCATAAAACAAAGTTCTATGACCACATTGTTATTTTTCGAAAGTTCAGTGACCTCTAATGCAATTTATCCGATAAATAGAAGACTGAGGAAATGAACGCGTGGATCCATGGGATGAGTGCATAATATGTCACTGCTTCTGTCACTTGCATGGAATCTTAACGATGACCTGTTTAATATCACTTGCATTATTATTATTCTTTTTTAGGATGCATTTGTCTCCCATTATTGAAAAAATAATAATAATAATGATAGTATTTTTTGAAAAATGTGTGGTTGAAAATTAAAGTAATTTTATTGACTTGTGTGTAGAATATTTTATTGAGTGAATGTGTGGTTGAGAATTTTAATATAACAAACAATTTTTTGCAATAATGATAGACAAACCTAGACTAAATTGAATTTAACGAGATGTTACGATGTTGCATGGAATCTTAAGGATGACTTGTTTAATGTAAATAACAGTTTTTAAGAATTTGATAACGGGATTGCTAATTTATTCAATAATTTAAGTCCCAATTCGGGAAAAAATTATAAATAATTAAACTTCACTTTCCACCTCACATTCAG